TGTGTAGATAATAAAATAGTAAGTCGACATTCTTTGAACCCGGTTTTAAAATGTCTTGGAAACAGATTTTCATACAAAACGTTTTCCCAACGCAGAAAAAAACCAAGTCAATAGTTATTTTCAATTCAACATATTTCTAGACACGAGACTTATCGCCCATTATTTTATTAGTATTTTTCTATTTATTTTAATTTTACTTTTTTAAAATTCATTTTCAACAACACATTCTTCCAATTAAATAATTTTGCACATAAACACATAACATATTTCCTACTTTTCTAATCACATATTTTCTAAAATTATTATTATTGTTATGATTATTATTATTTTTCACAAAAAAGAGGCTCTTAAAACTAGTTTGACAAGACTTCTGAAAAATCAAAATATACTTTTGATATTAAGAAATTGCTGTTGAACCTATTATGATAATTTTCTAAAAGGGTTTTTCCGACTATAAGAGCTTTTAGCCCTCGTTTGTCTGACATTTTGTGGAATGAAAATGGGTGGAATAATATTTTTTTGAAAAATGAGTAGTTGAAAAAGAATGAAATTTTCGATTTACGTATAATATTATTTTAAGGAAGATTGTGTGGTTAAAAATAAAAAAGACAAATGAAATGTAATGGAATAGAAATTCATGGGCGCCAAACGGGGCTTAGATAAAAGCGGATATTAAATAGCTTTTAGAGATTTTTTTTACCAGAAGTAGGAGTAAAAGTAAAAAATTATGTCACACAGTTCAATTAATGAGTGGGTAATTATTTTGAATTCAAATTTCACCATCTTTTTCAACATTCAATATACACAATGTCATCTATACAAGTGGAGACATAAAAGATCTTTACATTTAAATAAATAAATTTGCACCCTAACTAACAAGTTATTATTCTTTATTTTATATGAATTATTCAACTCATAACACGTAAGCAGAACAACATATACCTATATAGTATATACTCCACGGCACATGAATTATATCATGCATGTACATGGTATGGCATACATGAAATATAACAAAATCAAATAATTTAATAAATAAATGCATAAATAATATTGTAAAAGAAGTTGCATACATGTAACACTGTGTTGGATGGAGGACTAATCTGGTCATTTGAATATTTTCTTGCCTTCTCCATATATATATAAACATACAAAAACATGCCAAACCAACACATATTTCCATACAACCAATCTTCAAACTTAGCTTGTGCAGTAAAATAATTGCTTATTTTAAAGAATTTATCCAAGAAAATCTGATTTTGCAACACGAATGAGGGAGATGAAAATCATGAAATGGAAAGTTATATTTCCAAGTTGTTTCAAGATTGGGAACCCTACTCCCAAGCCAAAGAAAGTTGTGCCAAAACCATTTTCATCTCCGAGGCTTTCGTTATTGGATTTAAGCAGTTCAACTATTTCGGAAAATCTGTCTGTTTCTTTAGCCGGTTCAAATCTTCACGTGTTTACACTTCAAGAACTTAAGGTGATTACACAGAATTTCTCATCAAGTAACTTTCTTGGTGAAGGAGGGTTCGGCCCGGTTCATAAGGGGTTCATTGATGATAAGATTAGGCCTGGTTTGAAGGCTCAGCCTGTGGCAGTGAAGCTCCTGGATTTGGATGGCACACAAGGGCATCGAGAATGGCTGGTATTTCTCTTTTTTAAAGGCCTAGACTTTTAGACGAGGTTGTTCTTCATCAAAATAAATCATTTTGTTACGGGTTTTGGGGTTTATTGTTCCTCGTGCTTTTTTACTCTTAAAATCCAATTCATGTGATCCTCTTAGAGGTTCTAAGAGGTCGGTACGCCAAATCCCGAGAACAGTTTATCCTCTAAAAATGAATTTTCTGATTTTATGCAGTAATTTTTGTTTGATTGTTCATTGGAATTAATTATCTTTTATAATTAACAGACTGAAGTGGTATTTCTTGGTGAATTGAGACACCCACATTTGGTGAAGTTGATTGGATACTGCTGTGAAGAAGAACACAGGCTTCTGGTATATGAATACATGCCAAGAGGCAGCCTGGAAAATCAACTCTTTAGAAGTAAGCTCCTTCTTTCATTAAGTTATAATTAAAATTGCACTTATCACTGTGTGCTGCACTATGTGTTGTCTTTTTAATTATAGTTCGAATTCGAGGATTCTTGTTCCATTTGCAGCCAGAAGTTCTTAAATTAATCATAACGTACTTGACTAAAGTCAATGCTGATATTTTCTTTGGAATTGTTGATTGTGTGCTGGTAACTTGTCAACAGTACCCTTTTTAATTTTTGAACAAGTCAATCTTTCTTCAGGCAAACGATATCACAGATATGTTATATGATATGACCAACTCTGCCAATGTTTTAAGAATTGGTCCCACCATCAATCATAGAGGGTAGAGCCTCAATGATCAAAGGGTCAATCAATGAAAAATAAGAATAATAATAATAAAATTTTAAAGTAAATCCACCCATGGTACAGAATTTTTGATATACTCACATAGGAAGTCGGCAGTAAAATAATTCAAAAAATAAATCACCCACTTCATACTATAAATATTCTTTTAAGTAGTCTGTAAAAAATCTTTGTGTACTTAAAGCAGCCCTCAACATCCACCTATTATTAGTGTGAACTGATTTTTTATTTTTGACTTATTTTGATTGGTTGACAACTTCTCCATCTTTTGCATATAACAAGATGGGTTTCTGAACTAGTCCTCGATTTCGACCGAACCACCAATTTGATCTTGACTACAGTAACTTCAACTACTCGTAGGATTCTTAAGTAATTTAGTACAAATTTTCAATAAATTCGATGTCGATAGACCATGAATATGAATTTATATAATAAGATGTGAAATTTTAAATTGAATGTCGACTTAGTACAAACTCGTAGATTTGACTTAAAAACTGATTATGAAGAACGTAATAGAGTTCAATTAACAACGAATTATTTCCAATTAAGCAATTAATTGATGATTAAGAAACATTTTTTTTTTCTCAATCAGGATATTCAATTTCTCTTCCATGGTCAACAAGAATGAAAATTGCCATTGGAGCTGCAAAAGGACTTGCCTTCCTCCATGAAGCTGAAAACCCTGTCATATATAGAGATTTCAAAGCTTCAAACATTTTGCTAGACTCGGTGAGTTTCTTTCTTTAAGCTAGTTGGTACGAGACAAAATTTAAATAAATGATTTCTCATCAAAATTTTAGATGATATCACTCAACATGTCTGGTCGAAGCTTACTCTTTTATCTCGTATCTAGGATTACACTCCTAAACTCTCGGATTTCGGGCTTGCAAAGGATGGTCCAGAAGGAGACGACACACATGTCACAACGCGCATTATGGGCACCCACGGCTATGCCGCCCCAGAATACGTCATGACAGGTAATTTAGTTATAATTTCATCCAATCAATTTTCTCAACAAAAATAACAAATCATTTAAAATTAATTAAATTATCGAACTTCTTGCAGGTCACTTAACAGCAGCAAGTGATGTATATAGCTTTGGAGTCGTACTCTTGGAGCTGCTAACTGGTAGGAGATCGGTAGACAAAACCCGTCCCCACAGAGAACAAAACCTAGTAGAATGGGCAAAACCCATGTTAAAGAATCCTAAGAAACTGCTAAGCAGGTTAATGGACCCTAGACTTGAAGGGCAGTACCCAGAAATGGGGGCTCAAAAGGCAGCTTCTTTGGCTTATCAGTGCTTAAGCCATAGCCCAAAACCTAGGCCAAAAATGTGTGATGTCATAAAAATTTTGGAGCCTTTGAAAGATTTTAATGACAATATTCCAATTGGGACATTTGTATATTCAGTTTTCGGGGACAGTGATTTGGAGAGGGAGTATGACAAAAAGGGTAGCGAAAAAGGTTATTATAAGCAAAGACACGATGTCCATGAAGGTCGGATTAAGTCCCCTAAATCTCGAGTTATTTTATCGAAGAATAGTCTACATGGGAACCTAAGAAAAGGGTTAGATTCACCTCTGCACAATGGATTGAAGAGAGAATAGATCAGAAAAGTTTCGTGAATCGAATTGTAAATAGTTGTGTGTAATGAATTTGAAAACGAGAGATAAAAGAATTGACAAAGTCACGAATTGAATCGAAATTCAATTCGACATTTTATAGTGAAACAAGTTATGGTTTCAAATTTTGGTGTCTTATGTTCGTTTTTAATTTGTTATTTTCTTATTTCCTCAATCCAATCAAAATCAAGTTCAATAAAGATGAAAAATGATGTGTGTACAGACAGTGCTGTATTTCACAATCGTAGGGCTTGCAATAATTTTAATCATCGATCCCGCCTCTTATATGTGAGAAGGTTGTCAATTATAATGTCAAAATTGCTGCTGTAGCAAGATTCAGAAATGTAAAAAATCAAAAATAAAAGCACAAAAAGGATTCTCTCTCAATTCAAATAAAAGACTCCTGACTATGTTCAACAAATACTCTGTACCCAGTTGTCGAGAATATATACCAAGGCCATCCGTAATTCTTGATTATGAAACTAAAAAAGCGAAATCAATGGGCAACTTTGTGCCCTGATGGCTTTGATGATATAGAAGAAATTGTGAAGAAGAATGCAGAAATTGCGTGGGTGAAGGAAAGGAATAAAATAAAAAGACGAAACGTCGCCTGAGAGATTCGAACTCTCGCGGGGAAACCCCATGTACTTAGCAGGCACACGCCTTAACCACTCGGCCAAAGCGACGACGTTGTTTGAATTCTTCATCAAAATTATAAATAGTTTATAAATGGCAAAACATTCCCACCATTTATTTACCGATAATTCTAGTAACTTCATGTTCTTGAAAGTTTTTCAATAAATTGGTCGTGTTTCTTTTTAGTAATTTTTTTTCCAATGACTTCAATGATGAATTATACGCAATTTTAGGAATTCAATCATCAATGAAATATGCTTAAAGTCAAAATAGAGTCAAACCAAAATAAAACAAAAGAAAATCCAAAGTTAGTATAATACCACCACCACCTATAAGCATGGTGAGACAAAATGAATTACATTGCACTGTCTAAGTTACATTTGGAACAACAATTTAAAAAGGCAAATATATCAAGTTTACATTTAAAATTACTGCATAATATACTAGCAACACAAGTAGCAAGGGTAGCAGTAGCAGCAGCTTTTGTCACAAGGGGAACATATATTTACCTTTGGACATTTAGGATACCAACATGTACATTTTCTGGGAAAACAAAAATAAATCGAGCAGGACGGACATTTGGGAATGCAGTGACACAGTCTACAACTACCGTCACACATGTTACAGCATCGAGTATTGAAACACGACGAACAGTGGCACTTGGGCATCGAACAGCAGATGCATGGGTCGAGGTTACACAAATTGCAGTCACAACAGTGTGGCATATGAAGACGAGGGCATTTAGGACAATAGCAAATCCATGGAATGTTGAAACAGGACGTTCCTCTGAAATACAAAAGAACTTGTGTTACATATGGTAAGAATATAATAGAAAAGAGCGCAAAGTACTCAAACCAAAATTCCCCAAAAGCACGTATTAATGAGTAACACTAAGCACTTGTTTGATTCCCTTTAAAATTTTAACCCATTTTTTCTCTTTTTTTTTTTTTCAACCACACATTTTGCAATAAAATAATATTACAAGTAAATCAAAAAATTTTCCTTCTTTTTTAACCATACATTCGCCCAAAAACTACTATTCCAAAACATATTTTACACAAATTTCTCAATGGTTGTCAAACAGGGGCTAAAAAGGATGTTCAAGTTTCACAGATATTCCTCGACTATCGTTGAGACAATACGAAGTATATGCTGACAGAACATATAACATAGGACTTTTAACATGATTAGCCTTTGAGTAGCTTCTGAAACCATGTTCTTAATTGTCATAACACTGTAATAAGCTTTTCGAGTGAAGAGCAAAATCAATACTGTATCAATCTAATTGTGTAGTAACATAATAGGTCAATGATGGACAAAAATTTCAAGTCATTCTCTGAAGAAATTGGATTGAATGACGGAATTTGACTAGGGTCCTCAAGAAATCGAGTCTAAGAAACATTGAGTTAATGAATATTTTACAAGTGCAAGTAATTAGTTAATGATCGTCAGCAGAAGTGCAGAACAAATGATTTTTGCCACAAAAGTATTTGTTCTAATTCTATATCTGAGACTTTTGATGACAAAAGGTAAACTAGAATAAGAATATTCCACAAATGGAAAGTGATATGCAGCTCATACCTGAGCCATTTCCAGAAGCGACGAGATTTGTGAACTTTCTTCATTCTGCTTTTAAAAACCCAAAACAAAAATCAGCGAGTGAGAGTGAGAAAATAAGAGATTATCTATCTGTAAGAAAAAGAAAAGATAGTTGATGTTTTTCTTACGTAGGAATAAGAGGATCCGAGTTTCCAGTTACAAAATCAGCAATCCTGCAAAATTGATGTGTTCATTTAGTTGCAAGCTAATCACGAAGCAGGTGCAAAGCATGTTAAGAAGGGAAAAGCACTATATAACGTCCATGGATGTATTTCTTTAGATATATGATATATATTTATATAAACAAAACTTCGGTCGAGGCATTCTGGAGAAACAAAACTTGACATACTCTTTACAGGATTGTGAAGCAGGTTGAAGGCCTTCGACTGATTTTAATTCTTCCTGATTGCAATAAATTTTCGGATGAGCTTCCATTTACAAAAAATAGAGTTTACATAAAATAGAAGTACAGTGCATCCTTCACCCATTGACAAACCATGGAAAAATTAAACTAGATAAGAGAGCTACTTAATATAATCAACTGTCGCAGGTTAAATAAATTTGTAAAGTTTTACTCATATATCTTAGTTTCATCAAAAACTAAAATCCTTTCCCATGTCACAATTCCGAATCAAAAGAGACGTGTGGTTAAATAAATTTGTAAAGTTTTACTCATATATCTTAGTTTCATCAAAAACTAAAATCCTTTCCCATGTCACAATTCCGAATCAAAAGAGACGAGTTAGCTGCACAAATTCACATTTCTCTTAATTGAACAAGAATAAATTGAACCAAAGGTAACATGCTGATCTGTTGAACATATAAATGCACTCCATTAATTCAGCTAATGTGGAATAAGTTATGCACTAATGATATCCATCCAAAAAGGCTGGACGGGATTCAGCTAACACAAATACTTAAATTTCATGGTAACCTCAAAATATGCTGTTATATAGAGCCGGATATTGCCCTGCAACTAGAAGATGGCTATGGAGTTCACTGTAGTTTGGCTGAATGCAGTCTTCCCTCACAGTCTTTGAACAGGAGATTATTTAGAACTTCAGATGCGAGGATCTTGACAGAAAGAAGGTGGCTTTGAAAACAGATATACAATCAATCTACATCCCTATATTAATTACTTGGCTTGGCCCAGAATCCTTGTTTACTAGAAAGACGGTGGGCATGGAAACTAGAATAGATTAGAGCATGGTCCTAATGCAGCTGGGATGGGACAATCCCTGAGTTTTTTGTGCTATACTTCACGGCAAACAAAACATGCACTTTACTGATTAACCAAATACTCCTAAATAGCAAGTAAAAACACTGCATGACAAAACGTAATTTCAAACATAATTGATATAATCTTGAGTAATCCTTGACAACACAAAGTACCACTTGATACAACGTCTAAGCATTGCTGACACTGTGTAAAAGTTAAACTCAACTGGACACAGGCATGAGACAGACAACGATATATCAGAATCTACACCAAAATATATACAGTATTTGAGAACTCTTGCCAGATAATTACTGACTGGAAATATTGTTCTGCCGTGCACATTGTCTAAGCCAGTTTGTAGAGTTACGAATACAAACACATAACCTTCCTTTCAAGATTGACAATATCCCTTTCAGCTTCGAAAGAAACTAACATAATTAGACCGCATTAAATTAACATTCAGAACCCTGTTGAGTAACTGTTAGGGATGTAAATTTGACTAATTGACTTGGGTGGCCCGTGACTCGACCTGGGAAAATCCCGAGCCAACTTGGGTGGCCCGTGACTCGGCCCGGGAAAATCCCAAGCCAGCCTAGCTCGTGGGTCGGAGGGAGCTAGCCCAGGGTCAGGCCGAGCCCCATTTTGAGGCTTCGAGCTCGAGCCCGAGCTGGCTCGTGAGCCGAGCCTCAGGGGAAAAAAATTGAACAAGCTGCCTGTCTGTTACGTGTAGCAGCTATGTCCGCTGCCATTTAAAAAAAAATAAAAGTCACTCTGCTCGGTAAGCCTGAACCATTTTTACTCAAGCCGAACCCAAGCTTCAAGTTTCGGGCCTTTGACATCGTTCAAATCCTTTAACATTTGTCCACTCTCCAGTAATTTAAATTTTTAGAGGAATTATTCAAAATGGCATCAGAGTAGGTACTCTATGGTGGAAAGCTTGGAATTATCAATGGTCTAATTCATCACTTTTTTTGAACAAGCTGCCTGTCTGTTACGTGTAGCAGCTATGTCCGCTGCCATTTAAAAAAAAATAAAAGTCACTCTGCTCTGTAAGCCTGAACCATTTTTTACTCAAGCCGAACCCAAGCTTCAAGTTTCGGGCCTTTGACATCGTTCAAATCCTTTAACATTTGTCCACTCTCCAGTAATTTAAATTTTTAGAGGAATTATTCAAAATGGCATCAGAGTAGGTACTCTATGGTGGAAAGCTTGGAATTATCAATGGTCTAATTCATCACTTTTTTCCCCCAATTACTGTCGCATTCAAGTATAAAATCCTAATAGTAGCTTATGCAAGTGAATTAGAAGATGAAATGACAAAAAAAAAATAAAAATTAAAATACATGGCATCTAAATTCCAACTCACCTCAAGAAAGCTGATCTCCCTTTCCAGAATCTGAACCTTGGCTAACACTCGACGTTTCCCATACAAATCTGGGTATTCCGGCGGCGACTTGGGCCGTGGTGGCACTGAAACAGTGCCGACAGAGTCACCCATTTCTCCAATTTTTGCACCACTAATGTTTCTTTCCCTTTATGAATACTGGAGATCAATCAAAATAGGACAAGCAAAGAGGGAAAACTGAAAATTGCAAGGAAACAATAATTACTGGGATTTATGACTTTTGGGATAATTACGAGGTGCAGACTGCAGAAACGCCCGGACCATAAAAGTTCTGCCACAACCACTATCAGAGCAAACCTTGACAGAACTACCCGTACATTACAACAACTATACTGTATACATACATAAATTAATACTAATATAAATATAAAATGCTTATATGAGGGATTGAATTGGTGGTTTATTCCACCAACATTTGGAAACACTTGTAAGGTTTGCAACAATCGACTCTCTTTCAAGATTATGCAATCTGCTCCACTCAATTCAATTGCCATTATTAGCAGTAAAATAAACGCTTGAAGGTTTACAAAATAGTGAGATGGGTTTGCAGAAATGTTCAGAAATGGCAGAGAGTCGATTTATGGGTTGGGGAACATCGTACATCAGATCACACGTGACTGCTGTGTATATTATAGAGAAATGACTACTAGTTTAAAAAAACAGTTGTGATCCCTCTCGGGACATCTCCAGTCGTAGCACCAAAATTTGAACTATTTTGCACCAAATTTTACACTAAATCAAAATTCTTCTCCAACCATTACACCAAAACTTACATCAAATAAATAGTGCTTTATTATTTTATTCATTCTTTCGATTTTTGTCAATATATTTATTTAAAAAAATTATTTATTTATTTTATAACTATATAAATTACTAAATCATAACTTAGTTAAATTAACAAATATATTGATTATTAAATTATTCACGTGTTTTATATATTATGTTAAATTGACAAAAATAATTGATTATATTATTAATTTACGGTAAACAATTACATTAAATTTACAAAAATAATAAAATTTAATAATTTAAACTTTACGTTAAATTAAACTTTAAACGTAAACTTTACATTAAATTAACAATTATGTTAATTATTATTGATTATATTATTAAAAATAATAAACTTTAACAATATAATTAATAGTGTAATTTATTATTATTATTATCATCATCATCATAGAATGAAAATGACATAAATATCCTTAACCATTATCTTTGAAAAATAAAAAATAAGGGTAAAATGGACATTGCACCATTTGATGCAAAAATGGTGTAATGAATAGTTTGGTGCAACACTATTCACTTTGCACCATTTTGCACAAAAATGGTGTAAAGTTTGGTGTAGCATTGGAACAACCTTGCACCAAAAAATGGTGCAAAATAGTGCAATGGTGTTAATATTGAAATTGCCCTTAGGTAGAAGAAATCCGACCAGTGATGGGATGAATGTGTTTAAAATTAGGATTAATCTTCTTGTACATAGGGGCCCTCCAATTGGGGGCTTCCATGTGTACATTATGAACACCATTATGGAGGCCCCTATATACTTCTAGCATCCTCCTTAAAATTAATGGTGTAAATTGCTGTTACATAGAAGAATGACAAACTTATTGTCATTCATGATCTATCATCATCCTCGTTTCAATCATGTTTTATGTACACTAATATTTACACTTTGTCATATAATATTATTTAACTGGATAGTGTTAAAAAAAGAAAAGAAAAGACAGTTACACCATGATTGTCCTCCTCGTTTTTACTTTTTACAGTTTTTCTAGAAAAAAATAAAATTGGAAAAATCGAGCATGGCAGCGTCTGGTACTGAATACAGGCCAGAGTTGAGTCAGGATGGACTGAACCGTTTAAGGTATTAACTGTGAGTACAGTAACTTTTTTCAGTTTTACAATTTAACCCACAAGGGAAAAAAAAAAAAATGAACATATTTTATTTTTTAACCATATATAACGATGGATCTATAAGTACTTTTCAATTATTTAACACTCAATTCTATTTTTTTTTTATAAACTAAATCGTTTATAAATTCTTTTCAAAAGGAGAAAGTTACGTAAAACTAGTTAATTAATTAAGTAGTACGATAAATATGCACAGTTCTATTCTTTTGAAAATGATGTCATCTCTAAAATAGAAAATGACTCGAAAACGACAAAGAGAACAGACCCTTAAGATTTGAAATCATGTGTTTTTTTTTTTAATTTCAGATCAAGCAAAGATTTAAAGTGACATACCCAATTTACGGAAAAAATAAATATAATACATGTATTAGACTTTTTAGAGAAAATTAATTTTTTTAGATAAAGTAAATCAATAGTGTAAACAAGCACGTGCCGATCCTATGTACCTTCCTTACCCATGCTGGCTAAAGATATAGAATTAATTGTTCTAATGATTACCGAATTTAGGTTTATGTCTTTGATTGGTTATTGAAGTTTAAAATGTTGAATATTGGCCACTGAACTTAGTTCCACGTCTTCAATTGCTCACCGAATATGTCGAGTTTTGGCAACCAAACTTTGAAAAATGTCGTACATTACTCACTGGTATAAATATTGAATTTTGAAAAATATCGAGTTTACAGTGAGTAATGTACAACATTTTTCAAAGTTCAGTAGTCAAAACTCGATATTTCAAATTTCAGTGACTAATAAAAAACATGGACCTAAAGTCAATGATCATTGGAACAATTAACTCAAAGACGTAGCACTATCATGTGAAAGAACTATAGAATGATTGGGACATTAAATGAAATCAGTTACATCAAGCTACCTCTAATCTCATGCATTTATATCACTAGAAGACTATTTTGGTCGAAATATTCTCTTCAAGTTGTTAGAACCAATATAATATGACTAAAATCAAATTAATTTTTATAATTAATAAATTCAGGGTACGTGTCTATCGCAGATCGTATTTGTTTTAATCTACCCTACCTTTTTTAAAAATTTTCCACTAGTATCACTTTATTCTTACTAACAAAAATCTCTTCAGGTCCACCACTCTAGTTTATCATCATTCAGCGGCGATTCCGCTTGACAATCTATAAAAAGTTTGGCAATGTATATTATATAGTTCTATGGTGCCAAACTTTTGAATTTAGTAACACCCGTTACTTGCACTTTTTACATTGTTTATAAATAGATTATACTCTCTTATGGGACAATATGAAAACCAATGAATTTTTTTAGGACACAAAGAAATGGCTTTAAAACAAGCATAAATCCTATAGTAAGAAAGGCCTTTTGTTCATTATCTGAGGTAGTTCTTGTTGTTCGAAGAAGGCCACACATCGTTAATATAGGATTTGTGGTTACAGATTGTAAATAGATGACCGTGGAAATCCTGGGGGAAAATAAGAGCTTATTCTCAAGGATGCTAATGGAAATACTTTGCTCCTTATACGACGAAGGTTCGTTAATTCTTGTATATTATATTATTGTGAAGTCGTCGTTTATATACCGATAATGATTTTTTAAAGTGTGTCTGGTTGCAGGGAGGTATAGTCGAAGTACTAAGGGTGTGTTTGATTACATTTATTTTTCATGGAAAATTGATATTTTTCACCTAAATTCTTATTTGGAGTGTTTGATTACTATTTTTTTTTACGGAAAATATTTTCCAACTTTTGAAAATATGCCTAATTTTCCTTATTTTTAAGGAAAACATTTTCTTGGGTAGATGTGGTTTTTATTTTCCACAAAAGATAGAAAATATTTTCTTTTCTATATGATATTTTTCATGTCAATCAAACACAATCTAAGTATCACCAGGAAATGGAAAGGGTACAAAATTGACCTTTTTGGATCAAAAGGCAGTATTCAGCTTGAAAAGAGTCTAATACTTCATGTCTATCAAACCAAAGTTCCATTACAATCTCCGTTGATCTTGAATTTTTCACGAGTGACGTGATCTTAGCTCCACGTAGACAAGCTTCTATATACTTGGACAAATTGTTAGTGCCTCGTGGTATTCTCCAATGGTGGGGAAGGCGACCGCGTGCACTCCTACGATCAAATCAGTTGGTATATTTAGGTGTGGTATGAAAGAAGACGTGAACCACATTAGCGTACAAGCATCAAGGGTTTACAAGATAATGAAAATGAGAGAGTGCAACCTTACTTTGAGTATGCAAAATTGTGCTAATTGGCAATTGATTTCAAATCAAAACAATTAATTATAAGTGATCACCGAATAAATTAATTAAAAAGTTAATCAATTAATTTTTCACAAATTAAAATAAGATAAATCAAAATAATGTGTTGAAGAATCGACCTTTGATGGTGGATTTTTCGGGCTCAGTTTCGCCAATCTCAACCTTATTAAACACACCCAAATATGGCTCCAACCCAAACAACGATTCTTACTTCGGCTGCTCAACTCAATGTGTTCACAAAGAACACAATAAGGTGGCTACAATGAATAACCAAGAATAGAGGAATACATGTTCAATTTCAAGACTCGAGAGAAAACAAGAGAAAAGTCGGCTGCCTCTTTTTCAATTGCACACACACGCGGCTTATTCAACAATGAGGTCAATATATAGTTTTAGGGTGTAATAGTAATGGACTAATATAGTGGGCTCATGGACCAACTAATGGTTAAAGGGGCCAGAACACAAAAGTGAGCTATCGAAGAAGTAAATGAGCCGTGAGCAACATTAACTATATTAAGTTGCTTCAAACAACCCTCAAGTTGTTTTTCGGGTTGAGCCAATTAATCGAGTGTACTAATAAATATTTCAATCATCGGCCGAAGCCTATGAAATCTAATCCTACTATCCGACACTGTTTAACATTATCGTCCGAGATTATTGTGTATCAAAAAACCCAACAATATGACACAAATCTTAACGCTTTTATACCATTTTCCAATTCCCGTCTTCTCTGTTCCTATCCTATCTTCTAGTTATCTCCCGACAAGATAGGAATAAGTGTAACAACCCAAATTTTTGAATTCAAATAGTTACCAAAAGTTTTATTTAAATTTTGAACAACGTGATGTTGGGTTTGTGACTCAAATTGGAACAGGAGTCTTGAAGATTGCGTGTTTGATTTGGTATCAAATTGTATCCCGAGATTTAAGGAAAGAAAATCATTTCTCCCTCGAAGTGCCTTGTGCGGTGGCACGCAGCCACAACCATGCGACCGCACAGTGGTAGGCAGAAAACTTCCAGTCCGTGTTTGGCTGTTCCATGCGACTGCATGGGAGTGAACTATGCGGTCGCATGGTTCATTCCCGGCGTTGTCTGGGATTTTCGTTCTATGCATCTTGTAACTTAAATTCTCACCTTTTTAGGACTCCTCTAGGGTTTTTGGCGGTGACATATGCCCTCTTTCGTTTAGTTCAAGCATTATTGCTAAGTTGTATTATTTTTCTCCTTATTGTCATGAAATAAAATCATTGTTTCTCTGCTTTAACTCTCTTATGTTTTTTGCTTTAATCTTGTTTCATCTTTGTGATCTTGTTACATATTTTATAAAACGTCATTAATCTCAATTCTTGCGTGACCTTTGGGATCAACATGTGACATACAATAAATATAAAATTATTTAGAATAAAGTTACTTGCACAATTGTTGTTGACAATTGTGGTTGACAACATTGATGTTGTCAAATTTTGGACAATTAAATTAAA